ATATAGTTATATACTAGTTTCTTCTAAAATATTCCTGACTATGTCTTCTGGAATCTCTTTCTCCTTATTAATAGCAACATGTCATAACAAAAGGATTGAAGTAAAATAGTTTAAAACCACCTCCAGGGGAAACCTCTATGTTCAATCATTTATTAATAACCTTTTTGAAAGCCCAACAATTTTTCAATTCCGGAAGCCGTGCCCAGTGCTAGGACAAGGTGAACAAGACAAGACAGGGGGCCACTTCCCATACTTTATGACTAATGGGGAATCTAGACAAAGTTACAGTGGTCTCAGACACATGACGAACACTATCACGAGTAGTGTGGGGCATAAGAGGTATACGGTATACAGTAGGGAGAATGCTGCCCATCAATTGTGGGTGATGGAATTCCCTCTTTGATTAAAGGATACCCAAGCTGTAGTGAGCTGGGTAAGGTGGAAGGAGGGAAGAAATGTCTCAGGAAACAGGTCAGTCAGGCAGAAGCTTACAGGCAGGTAGAGAAGCTCCACACATTCAGAGGCCTGGCAGAAATTCAGAACAGCTGGTATATGAGGTGATAGGTAGTGAGTGGGGAGAAGGGTTTAAAAAGGTCGGCAGTTATCAGATTATGCAAGGTTTCTCAGACCACAGGAAGGAAGGAGTCTGGAGTTTGAACTGAGAACCACTGAAGGGCCTAAGAGGCACCTCATCCACGTTAATGTTTTCTGTAATATCATAACACACTACAAAATATGTTCTTGCAGGAACCATGAAGTCCTATGTGAATTTCTTGCTCTGTGAAAAACATCTTTTGTTGTTTTTGTTTTGTCTTATTTTTTCTTTTGAGGGGAGACTTGAGGAAGGAAGTAACTATACAAATTCTGGGGCAAAGAATATTTTCTCATTCACAGTGTACATTTTTGCAGGAGGAATGGAAATACTTTGAGACAAGTTCAAAGAACGGAACCAATAAATAAAATCCCACCTAGCAAGCACTGAAGACTTCTAGAGCTAGCCTCTGAGTAGAGATGGTGGCTCTGAAAACAATTGAGCTGAATGGATCCTGGACCAGGACATGCTGCCCTCTGGCCTTGCTCACAGGAACCCCATCCTTGTGTGTGGTCTCGTCAACAGTCATTCTCTGCCAGGTAACTGCACCCTTCAGAAACAAGTAAGATTTATCCCCTTCTACTAAAACTGGCTTACTAGAAAGCACTAATTATCTGATATAAATACAGTAATATAGGGGCTAGGAGGATACAAAGGATACAAAGTGGCAGACATACAGAATGAACATGTATAGAGATCTAAAGTACAACATGAGGACTATAGTTAATAAAACTGTATGTACTATATTTGGATTTCTACTAAATGAGATTTTAGCTGCTCTTGCCACACACAAAGGATAACTGAGATGATGAACGTGTTCATTTGCCTCTCTCTCGTAACCATTTCAGTATCTATATGTATCATGCTGTATATTTTAAATACATACAGTAAAATTTATTTGTAAAATACAGCAATTAGCAGAGACTTCATAAATATTTGCTTTTCAAATAGCCTTCACAACATAGGCAAATAGGAAGCCTAGATATCTCTCAGGCATTTCAAATCTAATATATCTAGAACCAAATTCATTACCCTACTGATAATGTGGGAAACTCTGTAAGATAACTGGCTTAGAAGAGAAAGGGGGAAAGAAAAAGGCCGTTGCAGTAGTACAGCAGTAATGCAGTGCTCTGTGATGCTGAGGCATGTGGGACGGTCCTAAGTTTGCACCCCAAGGTCTTTCTCTACATGCTGATCCATGAGCCCATGCTAGAAATCCAAGCTGGCTGGGGCTGGGGGTGAATCGTGGCATGTGGACCTTGTTAGAGGTGCCTCTACCCATTAGAAGAAATACATAAATAACAATTTTTAAAATGCAATAAAACCAAAAACAAATGTGAGGGGATGGAGTGGGTGTTCTACATTAAAATGGAATAAAGATACACACACACACACACACACACACACACACACACACACACACACACACCTCATCTTCAAACACATCATGAGAACCCTAATGAATCCCAAGTATTTTTTTGTGCTCTTTTTTATTTATTTTTTTTGGGGGGAGAGTAGTTTTAAAAAACATCTTGGGAATAATTACAAAAATTTGATTTGGGATTAAAAATTATATAACCTAGAATTACTATTAATGCTACAAAATATGATATTTATGGTTACTGTGGTATGGTAATGTCCGGTAATGTTAATGGCTCCTTAATTTTAGTGGACACACATGTGTTCAAGGGTACATACCATGCTATTTGCAACTTGCAAAAGACTGGGTAGGAGCAAATGTGGAAGATATTAAAGATTGTGAATCTGGGTAAAGGTGTACAGGTAGACAATGATACTATCTTTCTGCTTTTACATAGCTTTGAAATTTTTCAGAAAGGAAGAAAAACAAGCAGATATAAAAGTACACTGAGTTCTTTCAGGTAGAGAAACACTAAGCCAACTGGTCTCTGAAAAGCTGCTGAGCAGGTAAAAGAACAGATAAAATCAAGCGTGGGTAGGGATAAGGTCTTTCTCATCAAGTGAGGGTTTGGTGATACAATTCCAAGGACAGGACTATTCAAATCCATCAGAGATCTGGAATATGAGTATCCTCCTGTCCTTACCAAACTAAGTGTGAGGAAAGTTCAAAAAGTTCATGGAGGCTGGGAACCAGCAGTTAGCGTAATGGCTATGTTGCTGGACTCCCACGTAGTCGACCGCGGTTCGTGTCCCAGACCCGGTGGCTTAAATCTCACGCCGGGCGCGTGTGCGTGCGTGCCCAAGATCCCGAGAAGAGAATGGAGGAGAAGGGATTGCGGCGTGACCATCCCCCCGGGGGGTGATTTCTTGCTTTCTGTCTCTATGTCTCTCTCTGTCTGTCTGGCGAGTGCACGCGCCCTACAGTGAAAATCTCTCAAAAAAAAAAAAAAAAAAAAAAAAGTTCATGGATGTCTAGGCTACCCTGTAGCACTGTCCCAGTGGTCCTGAAATGTGATAGTCATGCACATGTGTCCAAGATCCTGACAGGCTGGATACCCTGCCAAGGGTTCCCCTTGCCCCACTCTCTTTCTTATGTATGCACATGTGCCACTATTAAACAAAAAAGTTTTTGGAAAAGTGGAATTAAAATACGAGTTGATTTTGGTGCAAAAACTTTTTTTGGAGAGGTTTTTTATTCTTTTTTTTTTTTTTTGCAATAGGGTGCATGCGCTTGTCAGAGAGACAGAGACAGAGAGGCACAGAGCGAGACATCACCCCTAGGGGGATGGCCACACTGCAATCACTTTTCCTCCATTCTTCTCTCGGGATTTTGGGCATGCACACACACGTACCAACATGAGTTTAAGCCACCAGGTCTGGGACTTGAACTGTGGTTGACTACGTGGGAGTCCAGCAACATAGCCATTACGCCAACTGCTGGTCCTGGTGCAAAAACTTTTAAATCCAAGCATAGCTTTTTTTTTTTTTTTTTTAAGAGTTGTTTTTGCGATAGGGCGTATGTGCTCGCCAGAAAGAGAGAGACAGAGAGACAGAAAGCGAGAAATCACCCCCCAGGGGGGATGGCCACATCGCAATCCCTTTTCCTCCAGATCTCAAGATCTCCTCTTGAGATCTTGGGCACACACGCACACATGCCTGGCATGAGTTTAAGCCACCGGGTCCGGGACTCAAACTGTGGTCAACTATGTGGGAGTACAGCAACAGCCATTCCGCTAACTGCTGGTCTCAGATAGCTTTTTCATAATATACATTTCTCATAAACATTTTGGAACCCCCCCCCCGAGAGGATCGATGAGGCAAGATATTATAAACCAATAAAAGAAAACAAGATCTGCTCTACTTCCTAAAATTTTCATAATCAGCAATAGCCATTCCTCTACAAGATGCCTTAGTGTCCTGCTACAGTCTTCCTAACTAACCCCAATATTCCCTCCTCCTCTGCCATCACCTGTCTAATGGAGAATTTGCTAAGTAGCAGCCCCAGCCACTTACTCTGGCCTCTGGGTCCAAGAATGCAGCCTTCCTAGACATGTGTCCCTGTGAATAGCAGAGCCACACATTCTCACACTTCTCCTAATCCTGCTGCCTCCCCATAGTCTTTGTGTCCTCTGTGACTCGGACAGTTACAAGAAGACAGGGCTGTGAAAAAGCCTTGCTCCCTTTCCTCATCAGTCTGGTACCATGATGACTTCCATTCTTCCACAAGGAAAAGCTAAAAAGGTGAAAATGACTAATTCCACAACAATAACACAATTTTTGCTTTTCTAAAATTCACTGACTCACTACACGGAGGCTTGGGAAGGAGCTTGGGTATCAAGCATTTCGACCCCCGCCTTTGTGGATACCATTCCCATTCACAGATAGCTAGGGTAGACTTCCCAGGTGACTGGCCACACATGTGCCCCCTGACTAATGGCCCAGTCCTTCTCTGGAAGGACCCATTAGAAAACATATCCTTACTCTGAGTCCAAACTTGCTTCTGGTGGCTTCTGCCAGATCCTCTGAATTTCAAGCTTTGGATCACATGAACCCCCTATACTCCCACAGTCTCTCATAAACATACCAGATTGTCCTACTCTGTCCCTCCACAGGAGGTCTCATGGCAGCCACAGCCCCAGACTAACTCAGGGTGATTCCTTGAGGAGCTTTGTGGGATCCTAAAGGCTGGCCTACCCAATCCCAGTCCGCTGTGGGAAGTGTCAACCACATGGGGTGCTCCTCCCCTGAATCCATTGTACTGTTTTACTTCCAAATATGGCTTCTCTTTCTGGAAGGGCTCTCATTGAGGAACCAGAGGGAAAATTACATTGCAAAGCAAAAGATCTGCATGATGTGGGGTTGGTACGGCCATGAAGGTTCTCATCTAGATAACTGCCTCTGTAAATAGCATTTATTTAATATGAATAAGCAGGAAGACCAATTAACCATAAAGGGTGGCTCAGGATTTTAAATAAATATGAAAGCTTACCTCCCCTTGGAAGCTCTTCAGCAGTGGTGCTACCTGCTTGCGCAAATCCTGGAGCAAGAGGGTAGATCCGGAACCAGCCATTTGTGAAGGAAAGAGAAGGGAAACATTGGTTAAAGCTTCCTAGGAACTGCTTTGAACTCACTGCTGATAATCATTTTTTTAAAGTAATCCCAGTACCTCTCCTGTTCATTCACTCCTAAAAACATGAATAATGTCAATTGGCATTCAAAAATTTAAATGAACTTAAGATTTGATTCCTGCAAAATCCTGGTTATGTGTCTTATTTTGAATGTGCTATGGACTAAAGTTTTGTTGATGTCAGAATAAAAAGACAATATACTTAGAATAAAATATAGTACAATATAGGTTTGATTGTTGTTATTACCTGAAATGGATTTAGGACACCATCCTGCATTCTAGCTGTTATTTTGGTTCACTATTGATGAGAAATACAGTCATGTCTGATATAGTAGCTGGAAATGTTATTTCAAGCCACCAATACCCATTTCAAAACTTCAGAGCATCCTAGAGGTATGTACATATGATCTCCTTCAGAATATTTAATGTAAAATGCAGTATTGAGAAAGTGCTTCTAATACTTTGAAAAGACTTGAATAAGACTACTTCTTTACTGAGAGTTTTTTCTGAATATGGTCTTTGTGCCAGAGCCGATTCAGTAAGTCTTGAATAAGGCTTATGCATTTAATTTTCTTTTTTTATTTTTAAAGGTCTAAGGCTGACTGTGATGTCATGCCCAATTGAGACTGATTAGTAGTGGCAAAGATAGACACACACCAATCAAATCATAACATGGGAAAGAAGCATTTCAGAAAAAATAAATCCAGTGTTATAGGCAAATACAAGAAAGATAAATCCAGGTAAAGAAGATGAGGAGCAGTTTCAGAGGAGGTGGCATGTGATCTATGAAGTCAGGCAGAACTTTTATGGGTAAAACCAAGAGAGGTCAAAGCGCTCAGCTCTCAGGACTCCTGTCTGTATGTTCTGTCTCTAATCCTGAGAACAGCTGCATCAAATGTATAGATGCCACTGGTCCTCTCTCCAGAGCTCCTGGGAGGAGCAGGGACATAGAGAGTCTCAGGGGCTCATAATGCAGAAGGTGGCAAGCAGAGCAGGATAGCCAAGGTGTCGAATTCTGCTGGAGAGCCTCAGTTCCTTGTCCCTGATGTGCTTAAGGAACCACACATTCCTGGTAAGAGGAATAAAAGTGTAGTTACTGTGGGTTCACAGTTCCTGGCATACCATAAATGGTTGGTAACAGGAGTGACTTTGCTGCATTCTCTGGCACCCAGATTTTCAAGTCTTTTGTAAAAGTGAATGAAGAGATAATTTGTGCCCTACAGAGGAGGTGGGAGATGACCCCAAGCCTCTCCCACTCTAGGATGCTGGAGCTCTCTAGTGGGGTCCCTTCTGCCCCACTCCCCATATGAGCCACCCTAGTCAACACCTGATGTACACACAAGGCAGGTTTTTTTTTAGAGTGAGAGATTTTTGCTGTAGGGTGCATGTGCTCACTAGAGAGACAGAAAGACATAAAGTAAGAAATCACCCCCTAAGGGGAATGGCCATACCACAATCCCTTCTGCTCCATTTTCCTCTCGGGATATTGGGTATGCACGCACATGTGCCTGGCTTGAGGTTAAAGCCACCAGGTCCAGGACTTGAACTGTGGTCGACTAAGGGGAAGTCCAGCGACATAACCATTATACCATCTGTTGGTTCCAAGACAGGCTCTTTTGGTAACTGACTGACAGCACTTTGCATTCCTTCAGCTCTGCTCCTAAATCAAAAGCCCAACTCTATCCTATATTCCTGCAGCTCAGCTTGCTCACAGACAGCAATCAGACCACTGCAGTCCTGCCTCTGCAGCAAAGTATGTAAGACCAGAGGCCCAGGTGTTTTTGTGGCTATCCTGGGGGTGGAAGAGCTTAACTTTTTCCGGTTATGAAGGCTTCTGAGGTGCTGGGAAAAGCTACTGACCCTTCTCTCAGGGATAAAACTGCACATTTTTTCTTCAGCGTCTTCCTAAAGCCTATTGAGGGCCCCCAAGCTAAGAAATTTCAATCTAGCCTGTGCTGTCCAATGCAGTTGCCACAAGTCACATATGGCTGTTTATACTTAAATGTAATTAACATTAAATAAAGCTTAAAATGTAGTCCCTTAGTGAGACTAGCTATTCTCCCAACACTAAGTAGCCATGTAGCTGGTGGCCATTGCACTGGACCACACAGATCTGGACCAATTCCATCATTACAGAATGATCTACATGATAGGGCTGTACCATGAGCTTTTTGCCAAATGTAATTAACCCAATATTATCTTATATTATAACCCTGCAAAAACATTTGATCGGGAAGTGTTATAGTTTCCCTTTTAATTTTACATTTTTCTAAAGGATGCATTCCTAAACATGATACTATTATTTCCTTGGAAAAGTTCAATACTTCTTGTTCCTCCATTGGATGATTTCCTGTTTTTATACTAAGTTCAATGACAGAAAATAGTCTTTACCAACCTCTTCTTAAATAAATGAGGCTCGCTGAGGTAAGCACGATAATGGCCCCTTAACATTGTCCATGTCCTAATCTCCGGAGCCTAAGAACATGCTAGGCTACAGAGTAAAAGGACTTCATGGGCGATTAAACCAGGGATCACGAGTCAGGGAGATTATCCTGGATTATCCAGGTGGGCCTGATGTGGTCGCACTGGCCCAGAGAAAAGGGAGGTCAGAGGGTCAAGAGTCAGAAAGTGAGACCTAAAGACAAAAGCAGAGGGTGGAGGGAGGCAAGAACCAAGGGGCATAGGTAGCTTGAAGAAGCTGAGGAAGGCCAGGAAACAGTCTCCTTTGGGACTTCGAAAAGGGACACAACTCATGCCTGCACCTTGATTTCAGCCCAGTAAATCCCTGTGGGTTCCTGACTTCCAGCACTGTAAGATAATAAATTCCTGTTGTTTTAAGCCACTTAAGTGCATGGCAATTTGAACATACTATCTCATGTAGCCAGTTCTCCTCAGAGGACAGCACAGATATAATGCTGAAAGGGAAATGAAAGAAAAGATGAAAAAGCATAGAGCGAAAGAAAACAGCTTACTGTTTGAACCAATAGGGACGATGGCATAAGACCATGTCTTAATTAGGAGGAATAAGCCACCTTTGTCAGAAGCGCAGTCACCACTAGTAAGGCTGTAGCAGCATAAATAGGAGTGTTCACTGTGTTTGCTTTAGGGCCGGAAGAGGGGGTTGCTGGACTCCCTGGCAAAGAGAGGAAAGGGCCCTATGGGACAGGAGAGGGGGAGGCAGAAAGTGCCTCTTAAGGTAGGTGGCCCCATACCCTTCTCTTCTCAAGGACAAACAAGCAGGACAGATGCAGGGAGCGACTTCTGTCACACGCTGCAAAGATAAGATGATGGATGCAATTTGTTGTTTGTTTCCCAAAAAGGCTGACTTGGTAGGAAGGCATTTCGGCAACGAGGTGTCACTGTGTAACCAGTGCTCTCACTCGCTAGCAGAGTGCTAAGGGAAGCACAGAGGTAAAGAAGTCCATGGCAGGCAAGTCTGGCACACAGGACCCAGCTCCATTCTCAACAACAGATCCATGTCAATTTTATTTTTTAAATTAAAACATGGGCCCAGCCACCACGGCACAGTGGTAAAAATGCAGGGCACTAAAAGGGTGAAAGCCACAAGCCAGACACGAGTTCAGCCCAGGTTGCCCTAAGAACATGCCAGGCATGTATGTATCTAGCTAAGACCCTAAGGAGGATTAGGGAGGAGACAGTGATGTAATGAGATCCTGTCCAGGGTACGTCCTCTCTCTCACGTGTGCACACGCACTCCCTATTGTGTACATGTATGTACGGAAAAGTGAGATGTGAAATTCAAGATGTGAAAAGTGAGACATTAAAATATAAAAAATTACTAACAAGGTATTTTCTATTCTGCTTTGGTATTAAGTCTTTTTTTAAAGATTTATTTTATTTATTATTAATATTTCAATTCACTAGAGAAAGACAGAGATAAAGTGAGAAAGCAAGTCGCCAGGTCCAGGACTCAAACAACGGTTGGCCATGTGGCAATCTAGTGCTTCAACCAGCATGCCATCTGCTGGTCCCAGTATTAAGTCTTTGAAGTCTGGTGTGTACTTTACATTTCTGCACATCTCAGATTGGACTGGCCATACACCAGGTAGCCACAGACCTACGTGGCTAGTAACCACCATGCAGAGCAGCTGGCAGCTGGAAGAGGTACTCACAAACCAGTGCTTGCCTGGGAAAGAAGGTCAAAGATGGTGTGCCCCTCTCAGAGAGAGGTAGGAGGGAAGAATATAGGGCCAAGAGAGGACGGAGTTTCAGGACAAGAAAGGTACTCACAACAAATGCTGCTAGGGAGGTGAGGGCCAAGGGAAGAGTTGGATTGGTGACTGATGAGTGCCTTTGAATGCTGAAGCTTTGAAAGCAGCTTCAGCAGCTTGGGGAGATGGAAACAAAATAGTGTGTGAAACTTCTTGAGAAATCCACAGTCCAGGGAAAGAAGGGGGAGAAGGCGACAAGGTCCAGAGAGGGTCTTGGCTCATCATTACTATTTCCTGAGTGGCCACCTCATGCTGAGCACTGCGTTGTTTCCTTTCCACGTGACTCCAACACGGGGACTGACCCTGACATTCAACAGACATGGACACCTGAGGCTGCGGAGGGAAAGGGAATTTGTCCAAGGTCACAAAACACAGCTGTAAGAATTAGGATTTACACCCAGCTCTCTCCAAGGCACATGCTACAGAGATTGCAAAATGGACTCGATCCCCTTGGCCAGGTCTGGGGGCAGGGTTGACAGATGGTGGCCACCCAGGAAGCAACATGGCAGTGAGGTGTGGGGAGCAGAGAAGGGGGTAACGTGCATCACTCAAAAGGCTTATAAAGGGCTCAAACTCAGTGGGGGAAATGGTGAAGTTGATGAAGTCATACAATGAGCATGGCTAAGGGATTTGAGAGCACAGCAGGGAAAAGAGAGAGCTTGATGGAGGAGTGCAGGA